TGCGAAATACCCTCAGACTGACATGGGGAGCAAGTGGAGCAAAGCGCTGGAGAGCGTCCGAAAAGACGTCGAGTGCTTCTTCGGCATCTTGAAGGGCCGCTTCAGGATCCTGAAGTTGGGGATCCTTTTCCAGGACAAGAACGTCATCGACAACTTGTTCTTCACGTGCTGCACCTTACACAACATGTTGCACGCGTTCGACCCACTGGACGAGCTCGAGACTGTCGAAGACTGGGGAGGGAGGGCGGGTCTCCACGATGCTTGGGACAACGACCCTTTGTTGGACGAGAGTATTGTGGGTTCCACCAGCCCCACCCCGGCGGACGATGACGGCACCACCACGACCCCGGAAGCAGCCCATGAGGAGTTGAAGAACGCGCTTATGACGCACTTTGAATTCCGTAGATCGAAGAACGACATTCGGTGGCTCAGACACACCACGACTGGCTTATATGCACGTGGCGCTTTTTTTGGTTTGGTGTGCGTGAATTTCTTTTCTTTTACGCGCGTGTTTTCGTTCAGCCTGAGAACTGTATGCCAAACCGGCTTGGTTGTTTCACGCTCGGAGGGGGTTCGCTGGAGGAGCCGTACTACATGTCCTTAGTATCGTGGCTTTCTTCCTCTGTGTTTTAGAGTGCATTCTCAGGGATTCGACTGATTCACTTCATGGAAGGCACCGTTACATGATATGCCGCTATGAAATCCAAGTACTGGTCGGTGTTCGCCACATTTTTTGCAATGGGGGTGCAGCCCCAGGGGCTGCAAGCAATCCACTAGGACCAGTTTATTTTTTTCTCTCTACACCCCTGGTTGTGTTTTGTTGTCGCGATTGTTATATTTTTCAGGTGTTCTCTTTGATTGACGCGTGTGTTAACCCTAGTNTATATTTTTCAGGTGTTCTCTTTGATTGACGCGTGTGTTAATCCTAGTTGGGTAGTTGGCCTATGACCACAAAATGGAAATGGTTTATATAAGGTTTTGCATCAGTTTACCGGACCGGGTAGGTTATGCAGGCAGCGTGCAGGTGCTGGTTACAACGTCTTATTTACAGTGTACCCGGTACGAGGTTGTGTTTTGTGCCCGTCCACTGTTTGTGTATGTGGTACGCCGTGATCTAGGTGCAGTTCACCGCTCTCCCTGTTTGGTATTTTACGCTCTATGTTTTCTGTAACCGGACCTTGGAACACTATCTGAGTCGCCTGTTGGTCGACGGCTGAGTGAAGTGGGTGACTAGAACCACCGCAAGTGGCATGGCAGTGGCAACCCCAGCGGTGAATGTAGGAGGAATAGATCAGAATCGTGGACTTTTAATGTTGTCTGCGTGAAGGGGTTTGGCACCGCCTACCGAACGAGAATGTTCCTACTTATACCTCCGCCCGATGTGTCTGACTGGGACCTTGTTTTTTATTAATATGTAAAGGTGTATGCCAAGACCTGGACCGTTTTGGCTTTCTCTTCTGACTATCGAGTGCATTGTGTGTGCCGGAAATCTGGGTAGCTGGTCTGTGACCACGGAAGACATCCGCGTGTTTTGGACCGGATGATGTAAGGTGCCAAGCAGAGATAGGAACGGATGGTGAATATCATGGCGACACTGGGAACGGTATCCACGCTCGCTCCCCTCTCAATTTTTTTATGGCGGTACACGACTTCCCTCCCGCAGGACGGCATGTTCAATTGTCGCAAGTATTGATCCAAGAGCGCCGAGTCGATGGCAGGCAGACCGCGCGAGGTTGCTAAATGTAGAATTCGATTTTCTGTTAACCCTGACACATGGCACTTACACAGTATTGGCCCGCCGTGCAGCCAGTACCGATTCCCTGGTCAATCGTAGTGCTCCCGTCAAAATGAAGCAGAGGCGGGGAAACGCGACAAGTTGGAGTTCGTTTTCTGTCGGGGGGGATCGATCCCTGATATGCGAGTTCGCCCCGGGGCGTTTTTTCTCGAAAACCAACAGGGATCGGTTGACACTGGTGTCGAAGCTGATGCTTGTCTAGATTAAGGGGTGGCCGTGTCTACAGCTCAAGTACACATCGGGACTCCTGGCTACAGGCAAAAGTCTGCGGGTGCGCAACACCTGAACCCTGCCGGTGCCAAAAGACTACCGACCAAGCTAGGTTACTGCCAGATCATACCTAAACTTTAAAAAACATACAGGCTAAACAGACGGAACCCTCTGGACAGCACAACATCGTGGGTCATGGCGCAAGCAGTCCGCGTGCCCAATACTTTGGTGTGCCTGTAGGTCCCCAAAATAGACAAGAACAACGCCTTTGAACCTTCCGCCCCGTGCCCTGGATAACGAACGAGAGTACGTGCGCTCCCCGGGGCGTTCTGAAAGGATATTGCGGGGGACGGTTAGCTCCCCCTCCGCCCCCGCTACCACGGCCGCTTCAAATAGATATGGAAATGTTGCCTGAACTAACAAATACTTCAGAACTTTGCTCAGTGCCTTGTAACATCCGTACCGGTCCAACTGGCGCCCACGCCTTCCGTGCTCACTGGCCAACTACCCAGAAAACGATACAAACTTCTCCAAAATACAAAGGAAAAAGAACATGGACAGAAAACGGGATACTGCACGAGAAATTGGGGCACAAATCCGGAAAAGGAAATAGCCTAGAGCTCATCGGCTCCGCTCGGCACGCGATGCCAAGGAAAACAACCCAACTCACAAAATATACCAAAACCACGAACAAGTCAGGTCTCGCTGACTGTATCCCTACTTGATTGCACCGCCGAAGCGATGGCCCACACGTACACACAAATTATAGATGGACGCATTTCGCAAAACAACATAAATTGTTGTTGATGTCTTCGTCTGGTTCCAGTCGCTCCGTAGGGCTAACAAGACATCCCCGAATCTTGTACGCCAGAGCGACGCCTCGGTTTCATCATAAAGTTTTCCCTGTGTGCCTGCACGGACGGACGAGCACACGGGAGAGGCACATTGCAACCGTGACCGGTGGGGCGCGCTATTTACTATTGTATGCAGGGAACTATGCTGCGATGCCCATTCCTCCTGTTGAACTACTCGACTTGGGTATGTAGCAAAACGCTTTACAACAAATGTCACCTTCCCTCTTCCACGAAGAAGGAATACAACATCCGCCACCTACAGAGGGGTGACGGGTGCACGGAATTTCCACACGGGGTTCGCAACCCTTCCTACTCCGACCGGGGAGATGTATTCTGTGTAGTCAACTTAACACACATTACACACCCCAACGAAGCTTGTTTTGGAAATCTTCGTTGTGTGTACATCACGAAAATAAAACGCCTGCTGCGGCGAGAGGCTAGAGGAAGACAACCACGACAGAAAGATACGAGAGAGCGAGGAAGAGGAAACGTAACGCGTTTCATACAAAAATAAGAACACACACGAAATCTCCTTGTGCTTCCGAAGCAGGAACCTGTTGCCCAACTGCTGCGCCCCCCATGTCCGTAGAATCCCTAGACTTGATTGGAATGTGTTGTGTTTTTTTCCTGCTTACTGACTACAACTACGTATTTTCATCGGTCAGCCGGTTAGCGCGGTCGATGCCAACTGAACAGACATACGCCGGCTAGAACGCTGCAGCATCGAAATCGCCGACAAGACTGAACCGAGAGCGCACTCGCCGTTTGCCTTGTCGTTCGGTGTGAAAATAAAATGCTGGCTGTCATCATCCTGTTGTCCTTTTGTGTGCGTCAAAAAACGAGGAGGGAGAGGAAGAGGGCCTACGGCTGTTGTGGTAGACTACGGTATGGCGAATTAATTTCTGCCTCCGATAGCCGTGATCTTGTCGGTGGCATGAGATACTACACACACCCTAGATTTTCAAAGCTCGATTGCTCCACAGCACACACAGTGGTGGTGGCGGAAATGGCGGTGTGGCAATCATCTCGTCGAGAGCTTTCCGACTACTACCTCGTTTCGATTGGATGCATTCTCTTCGTCAAGGTGGCGTACACGACACTCCGTACAATTCCCACCAGGGCACACGTTGCGATGTTGGCTCAGTTGGCTCAGTTAGGTAGAACTACTGCTGTAACTCCTGAACAAGCGCATTGCACAAGCATCGTAGCTGCCATCCATTCATCACCTTTATTGGCCGCTTCCAGCAAGATTTTAGGTCCCATCGAGTTGCGGCCCATGATGTCCTTCGTGAGCCAAGCTGGGGTAGTGGTGAAGTCGTATTTCTCTACCAACCAGCGGAGGAATGCCGGCACAGCAAAGCTTTTGTAAACTTTGACTGCCTCTGCATTTCTATCAGACTCGCTGTAGCATTTGCCGCTCTCCTTTACGCTCATGCCAGCGTAGAACCCCGGCAAGAACTGGAACAGACTAGCATGGCCTACGTTCGGTTTGTCGCCCCAGTTGGTGCCCTTCATCCTGTTGATCACCCAGTCGGAGCTAGCATTCTTCTCTAGCATAAGAGAGGCGGTTGACATGGTGGTGCCCGTGCTGCACTTACTTGGCTCTCGCTCTCTACCGTGGGTTGTGTGGTCTGTGGTGGCCGCTCGGCCGCTCTAGGCCTCCATCCAATCTCGAATCCTGACATGTCCTGGGCCCCCTGGCGCTACATGCCACCGCAGGAAGCTCGAAAACCAGATAAAATAATCCGTTGGACCATAATATCACTTCCAACGGATTATCCGCCCGGAATTTCGCAACGAATTTTTATTTTCCGTCGGGCCAACTTCCGGGAGCCATAAGAGTCAGTCTAAGCATGGAATTTTTATTACTTATTTTTTAAGCTGTGGACTGACAGCAGTGTATCCTCATCCCCATGTGTGCGTGACCTGACGTCACGATTGTTGTTGATGTTTCGGAGATTGCTCACCCTGACGGAGATTAAGACATTGACACCTGCAGTACCTATCGTATGCACGGCGGCGGCATGGTGCTGGTTGTAGGTGTGCATTATTCTTGTGTCGAGAGCAAGAGAGAGAAAGAGAGAGAAAGAGAGAGTCTGCGAGATTTCCCACAGCCCTCATTCTCGTACGCGATAGACTTGCTGCCGGGCAAAAGAGCCCCGGCTGGTGACGTGGGTAACGCTTGCCGCCGATCTGTGTGCGGCAACAGGGGCTACGCGGGCAACGTCATCAACACCAGGAGACCTTGGGAGACCTGGAATAGCCTAAGACGCCCCTCTTTGAACTCTCTGCCCTGGCGGACGAGGCATCAGAACACGACTCTCCCCCTTCCTGGCAGGAGCATCCACCCTAGCCACGCCTCATGTACTGCGTGATAATCCACTAACCAAAGGTGAGAAGCGAACTGCAGTAGAGCCGGGGCAGGGCTGTGTAGTCTATAGTCCATGCAGGCGGCATCACCTTCAACGTGGTGTGTGTGCGGAGAAAATAGCATCCATGCGGTGCGTGCTGCGGCTGGTGCGTGCCTGCCAAAACATAACAACCTCCAGCGGCAACGCCAACAAACGTCGTGCAAGGGCTACAGCATTCCCCGTCTCTTTTGCGGATGTTAGCTGGCTTCGGGACTCGTGGTCCAAGGCGCCATCAGACTCCGAGTTGCCCTCACGCCCTCACTTGAAACGCTCATTTGCAGGAGCAGCGACGTTGTGCCGAGGCATGTGTTGCAGCAGCAGTGAACAGTGTTGTTTTCCTCGTGGCCCAGGGCCCAGGATGGCATCGAACGCCATGCTGCACTCACGCACACTACAGCGAAGCACCAGAGAGAGCAGCACCAACGACAACACATAAACCAAACGCGGGCTGGTGCATACGCAGCAGAACCACCTGCTGCTGCACACGTTCTCTACTGCTGTACGTATCTCTCCGGCGAAAGTTCCCACGGCTCTGAACAGTCTAGGTGCTCGGAATAATGTTACGGAAGTATTAATAAAATAGTTGGAGGTGGGCCGTTTGAACTGAGGCGGTTTCTTACGGTTTGAAAAATTCCAGTTGAACACTTGTGAACCATTCTAACACCTCCTTCATTACAGTCGCCATACCGCATGCCGCAATTTCTTCAAAAAAGGTGGTGGCATTCACCGGCCGCCCTTCCCCCCCCGTTGCTTCCGCTACTGGTATAGTCAGATCGTGTATCACCCGAAGTTTCTCTTTCTCCTCCACCACCCCGACCGGGGACGCAAACCTGGATTTTTTTCTGCAACTCCTCTCCTGAACAACCCCGCCCTGCCTGCTCCAACGTCCTCCACCTTCTGCCAAATCGCTCCGTGCCATTTTTGCGCGCTAACTCATGATTTCCGTACGCTAACTCATGCTTCAGGCCTCCCCCCGGTCCTCCTGCGATGGGTACCCCCACTTGTGCAATTTTTACCAGCACGTCTACGTGTTCAAAGTTCCCAAAACTTCTGGCAATCTTTTTCGCATCCATATGAGGCGCCAACAAACGTCCACCCAGACTATGCACGACACGTCCGATACCACCTCCGCTAGCATCTATCATCTCTTCCTTCGGGGGGAGGGCACTCGAAAGGGGTTCATTCGCTGGTTCAGTTTGTGCATTGGGGGGAAAAGGGCACGGGGCGGATACGGGGGGCAAACTCTCAGACAACACGGCCCACGCCATATCGCCAACACTGTCATCAATTTCTTTTCTTTTTTGTTTGCCTTCCGACAATTGCAGATGTACCTCAGAAAACTTTCACTTAATGTCTCATATTCTACATGAATATTTAACCAATACGAAGTACAACAACATACGTAGGACTTATTTCTACTGTCACTTACATCGTAAAAANGCTGCGGCTGCTGCTGCTGCTGCTGCTGCTGTTCTGGTTGATGATAGTGCTGCGGCTGCCCGACCTCCCCACCTGGCCTACTGTGCCCTCGTCCCGCTGCTCCCATCTCTTCCCCGTGCGGCCCATTGTACGCTGTTCCGTCAGCGCCGATCCCGGCGCCCCCGACGTGTTCATTGCCCCCCCTCCTTCCTGCCCCTCTACCATACGAACTCCCGCCGTGCGCGCGGGAATCGTTGTGGTTGCTTTGTGAGGACGTCAATTGCTGCGTGTGCGACGGACCCCAGCGGCTGACGTACGTAGACTGGGCTTGCCTAACTANAAAACCGATGACAATCCCCATGGTATCCTACATGCGTTCGTAAGCTTGCTAAAATACTACTGCATTGATGTCCTCGTGTAAAAGCTGAAATCCAACAAATGCTTTGATCCATGCTACATGTCCGTGTTGGAAAAGCCCTTGCTCGTCCGTTCATGATANCCCAGCGGCTGACGTACGTAGACTGGGCTTGCCTAACTAACATTGGGGAGTTGGAACGCGTCTGCCTAGGTCTTGAGTGGCGCGTTTTCCCCCTGCGGACGGCGATAGACGTGACTCAATCCTCAAAGACCCAGTGCNTTGCTCGTCCGTTCATGATAACATCTTACCCTATTCTACGCAAATCTGTCCCCCCCCTCTTCTTGGCGCCGCCGAGCCTGGTGATGATGCCTTTGCCGNAGCGGCTGACGTACGTAGACTGGGCTTGCCTAACTAACATTGGGGAGTTGGAACGCGTCTGCCTAGGTCTTGAGTGGCGCGTTTTCCCCCTGCGGACGGCGATAGACGTGACTCAATCCTCAAAGACCCAGTGCTCTCTACACTGGTCACCCGTCGCTCACCCTGGCTCGACGACCTCCTCCTCTCACCTCCGCCCCTCGGCGGCTGGCCCCCGTCCTCTCCCCTTCCTTGGCCCCACTGTCTGCCTTGCTCTTCCTCCTCCTCGTCGTGGCGCCTCATTGGTGTCAACGTCCCAAGCCTCACCGTATTCGGCATGGGACCCCGCGCTCAGGCGCCAGGTCGGCCGACGTAAAAAAATAAACGAACCGACGATGCTCTTGCTCTCTTTCTCTGTCTCCTCCCTTCCGTACACTCGCTTCCTTCTTTTTCCTCCTTTGTCTCTCTTCTACTCCTCCTCTTGTTTGCTTGTCGTCTTGCTGTTTGATCTTTTTAACCGATCTGACAACACACCAGGTTGTACCACAACCTTCCACTTCTTACGGTTTGAAAAATTCCAGGTGGACAATTGAAATTTCCAATGCCCTGCCGAACAGAGCTTCTTACGGATTAGAAGAACGTTTTTTTGAGAAATACATTTTCAACTTGGGCAAAAAAAAAATGAAATGCTCTGCGCAGTTGAAATTTCAGAAATTTTCAAGTCGCGACCGAGTTGAAAAAGCTAGTTGGAAATCCAAACCTAGGGGGGGGGGTGCATCACACAGACCCCCCACCACACCTGCTTTATTTGGTCGCTGGAAGCACCCGACAGTGCACAACAGCGCACCACAAAGCAGCACAGCACAGCACAGCACAGCACAGCGCGTGACAGCCTAGCAAGCGCCTCACACGCGCAGACCCGGTGCTTTGTTGTCAGCGCGGTGCGCCCGATATGGGGACGGCGACGATCTGTTGGAAGCAACAGTGCCGTCAGTCGCGTTGGCGGCTTTGCATCAGATCCAAGAGGAGGATGGTCGCCGGCGCGCAGCACGCTCGGTTTCCTATTGGTTGGGATGCTGTGCCGTTCGCGCGCTTGATCACGGAGCACGCGTACCAGATGGCCGCGTTCTGAAGGATGTTCACGTTTTTGGCTGTCGCCTTGTCGCAACCGAGTATCGACCGCAGCAGCGCATCGGAGTAGTTGTTCGCGCCTTGCGGCAGCAGTGGTTCCACTAGCGGCATGATGTTGCGTGGTTTTACTAGCGGCATGATGTTGCGTCGTCTGGCGGGGGTGTAATTGTGACCCTCCCCCCCCCCCGGTGTTTGCCATCGGGATTGTGTTTTCGTCGCTTGGCAACGACGTTGTAAAACAAGCCAATTCACTTCGTGAACTCGGCAACCTGGTGACCTGTTTTTTTTTTTTACCTCCTTTTTTTTGTTTGGCAGTAACCATAGTGGTGGTCGAGTAGATCATGTTGTGCGGGGTCGAGAACCCTCACTCCGCGCAAGGGGGATGATCGCACCACGTTCAAGCACCCTCGAGGCAGTTACACACAACTGTCTCAGGAAGTGCAAGCACCAGAAAGTAAATTAATTCATACGCAGCTGTCATCCGTACGCNCCCCGTGTGTTTAGCGTTTCCAATTCTGTCCATCCGTAAGAAGGCTGCTCCATTTTTGAGTGAGATTTTCCGAGTTGGATCTGGGAATTGAAATTTCGATTTTTCACCTGGAATTTTTCAAACCGTAAGAAACCGCCTGATGCGCTGGAAGTTGGATTGAAACGAGATTGCCGCAGCTGTGAGTGAAGGCGGCTACGTGTTACACGGGAAAATGAATATTTCCCCGACCATTGGGCAGCCTTTCCTCCAGCGTCTACAGGAGTTCCGCCTACACTCTCACGCGTTTTTCTGAATTCCGTCTCATCACCGTATGCATATCATATACAAGTACTTAATTTTTTTCGCGAGCTGTGGACCTTTTTCTGATCATTGCTTCCCGTTCGTGCTGCTTTGGGCGGTTTGTCCCAAGGAAGTTGTCTCCTTACCTTAAAGAGTGCGTCGGAAGAGGAGGAGGTCGAGATACGGACTGGCCTATAATTGTAGCGAGTAAATCCTCGGCGACTGACGGCAAGGGATCTTCGGTTTGCGGGCGCGGCCTACACCTAGAAATACATTCTAGCCCATGGTGAAGTTTTCGGAGGACAGTCCTTTCCTGCAGGACGATGGAGACGGGCAACCGAGTGCCATCTGCTCGCAGCACGTCAGGAGCTTGGAACTGCTCAAGGCGATCGTTCAGGTCAGAGCGCTCTTTTTTTTTTTCTTTCAAGACCATTTTCTAAATTTTGCTGGTCCCCGTCGTCGAGTTTGTCCGCTGGTTTCTCGTTCCATATGTTACCTCTGCCCGAGTGTTCGGAACACCACCTCTGCACAGGTTTCGTCCGACGAAATCGAGCTCCACGAATGCAGCTTAGAGTGTGCGTGTAGTGAGAAGAATGCCCGCTCACTTGTAAGCCGCAGCTCGGTGACGGCAAGAATCTGAAGCCGGTTCGGTACAACCAGAAACCAACAGACCCAACTGCGTGCGAGAGAAATGCTACAGCCTTCAAACAATCGTGCGTCGCCCCGCCATAGAGTTGCTGGGCCATCTTTTCAACACCTAAATGCTACTCAGACCAGTAGGGGAGATAATCTGGGACGATTGTCATCACCTCTACAACTGCCCGAAAGGTGGGTCGTGTTCATGTCGCACGCGGTGGCCGACATTTTGGCTATGGAGCAAAGTTTGCGCTGGCAGCGCCAAGCCTCCCCGGAAAGGGTTGCTTGTTGCGGCCATGGGAACCATTTTGTGCGTGGGTGTGCTCGGACTAGCTCGAACTCCACTGCTGCAACGAAAGGGGCCTTATTTTGCTTGCGGTGTGATCACCGGGGCTGTTTGCTTCTCTCCGTGGCACTGCTGTGCGGCGTCTCCCCCCCAGGTTGACACCATTCTCGCTGGATTTCTTGTTCTATCCGTGGTGGGCAAGGACAATGAGCAGATCAACAAAGACGAGGAGAAGGTCCAGGTCAGAGCATTTGAGAGTAATTTGCTCCATTTTTGCTTTGCTGAGGAGGCACCGATCCATTTTTGCTAGGCCGATGTACGAGGGTCGGCGGTGGTTTCCTTTGTTGAAACCGCGGAGGGGAAAACTGTCTGTGCTACGCCGGCGGTTCACGACCGTTTCAACATCCGAAATCTTGAGCGACATGTAATCCCGGGTGCCCGATCGTGAAGAACTGCCAACGCCAATGCGATGGCAAGGAGAAAAACGGGTGCCTTGAGGCAGTTTCTTTTTCAAGAGAAATGGCCGCACCGGGCGGGCGAGGTGGGCAACGAGCACAGCCTTTCCTACCCATGTTGTGTTCACGAAGAGCGCGCTCTAGTGTCCGAATCGTGTCTCTCATGTCACCGTTACCCTGTCGAGAAAGGGGCGTGAAATCAATCGCCAAAATGACGAGCCATTCACCAAAGAAAGAGTGACCCCCTGGTACTGGATTTGAGTACAAGAATCTGAACGATAGTGTCGTCCTAAATGTTACGAGGTTCACAAGAGTAGCAATCCCTGAAGATCCTGATGATGACTCGCTTGTTGATTGTTGTTGTCTTTCTCTTGATTATTGCTACTGCAGCAGCACACTTGCTGACTCCTGCTTCGGATAGACTAAACAGAAGGGGGGCGCGGGCCGCTCCTTGCTGGGAGGGGGGAAACTATGGCTTCATCCCCTGTTCAGCAACAATCCAAAGGAGTTGCGGTTCACGCCAGAACTACATGTTTTGCCTAGAACTATTGTTCAGATCCTTGCACTCAAATCCCGCAACACTAGCCCACCCTGGAGGTTCGTACCCTAGTCGAATCTATAATTCGAAAATGAATCGAAGATGCGCAACTCCACAACTCAACAATTCGCCCTCCCACACCTCTACATCAGATGGACAAAGACCATCGCCGTGAACGCAGATGCAAAGGGACTAACGAAAACGGGGAAATAACGCTCCAAAGGACAAGGCAGAAACAGAATTAGAAGCTCAAACTGAAAACAAACGAAAATATTATAACCTACAAAGGCAAGGCGTTACACCTCGACTCAAACGCCAAAAGAAAACCCAATCTTCGGGATGACGAAGGCAAAGACGCAGAAAATCGAGTACCACAAAGACGTACACATCGGGGAAAAACAGAACATCATTGGATCGAAGCAAAAGGGGTCGTATGCATTGTACCAAGTGTTCTATTCGCGGCAACAGAAAAGAAAACAAATCGCTAACGCGAAACGACGTACTAAACAACCACAGTCGGTCGTCCAAACGACAGAAAAACAGGGATCGTAACAAAACGAAATGCAGAACCTATGCAAACGACAACAAAAGCTCAAGCACACCAACTAAGAGCATAAAGGAAGCCGGGAAAAAAACCCAAAACTACCAACCCTAAAGCTTCGAAACGAGCAGTCCGTACCACAACCCAACCGAAACACAAATCACCAATCTCTCAAGCGCTACTCAGTGCCCCCCCCCCCCCC